ATCCCTCTTCATTGCTTTACGCCTTTTCCTGGTGATGTCGTCACCACCTACTTGGAAAACCAGGAAAGGGCAGTAGTCCTGGGGTCTCACTAGAGCGGGGACTTTTGCTGTGAGGTCCTTGACGCGGGCCCCAGGGAGGCAGCAGACTTCCCTGTGAAGTGGGTCTGGTCTGCATATGGGGCCTTCAACACCCCTCAAAATGGAGTCCCCCACTGCAATGACTCTTCTGGGGTTCTTTCCAGAACTGGTTTTAAAACCTGGTCTAGCATGACCAGTCCTTGGTGGACCTTGGTCTTCCTCATTTGTCTCATTTTCTTCCTCCTTCTCTTCTTCATTCAGAAGTTCCAGGGCCCCGAATCTATTGTGAAGGGGCACCATGGAGGGTGAAGGAGGTTGGCAGAAGATTTTCCTGCCTCCCTGAGCAGGGACCTAATTCCAGCCTCCCCTGTCTCTTAGGTCCCCTCCTTCTGTCTGGCAGCAAGGGGCTGAGGGATCGCCTGCCTCCTTTGGAGCCGCCATTTTCTCCTGTTGCTGTACAGGTGCTGGGGTGTTACTCCACCAACCAATTTCCCTTTCACACTCCCGAATACTTCTTAATCTCTCAACCGCTTCTTTGCGTTCTGCCACCAGGCTGAGCAGATCATCCAGTTGATGGCAGTGCTGTCCCTGCGACCCCCCGGCAGGGCTGACAGGCTCAGGCACTCCCTGCAGCACGGGACCTGCCCCGCTGCCTGTTCGCGTGGCAGCTGCCTCCGGGTCGCCATGTTCTTTCTGGCGGTGGTTTTGAATCGCGTAGAGACCATGGTTCAGGCTGCTCGTGGAGGACGGTAAAATAGAACTAGCTCTGATAAATTCTAAACTCCAGAGAGCGAGTGCGATTTGCCGGCTCCCCCCGCCTGAGCGAACCCCGGAGAGCGAGCGCCCCTCGGCTGCTCCCCTGCCTGCTCGCCCCGTCTGCAGCCGCCGCGCCTCAGGCTCCTGCCGCGCCCCGCCCTGGGGGCTGCTCCTGTACGTGATGGGCGTGAGGCGCTGCCACTCCGGTCTCCGCCCGCCCTCGGTCCCCGCTGCCCTTGTCGGCAGCGGCTCAGACTTCCCGCTCAGGGAGGGGGGAGTGGGGGGGTGGGACACGACTTGAGGCTCTCCCTCTTCCCTCGGGTTCTGCCTTCACGTCTTGCGGTTTCTGGATGCTTTCAGGAGGGTCCGCCGCCTCTGCCCTCCTCCCCGGAGCCCTCTCCTCAGCAACTCAGAGGCCAGTTCAGGCAGTCCGTCCAGGATGCACGTGCCCCGCAGTAAAGCTCAGCTCTCAGCCTTGCTGCTAACAAGGTTCCCCGCATGCTGGTGCCATACACTTGCTTTGAAGAGCAACATCAGCACATCTACTGACTGGTGAGATACCCCTTGTGCATGCTGTGGCATATCTACGCAGCCAGCCGCTTTCCTAGATTTAAGTGGAAAGGATAACCAGTTCTCTCCCTGCAGATTTCCTGAGAGGTTCTGTGCTCCCATGTTGTGCAGGAAAATGCCCCTGACCTTAAACATCAGTGGCTGCTGGCTTATAGAAAATCTCCCTACAACGATGGCCTGGTTCCTCTCAACCTGTATAAAACTGGACCAAAAGAGAAGAAAGTGTGCACGGGACCCATGTGTTAAGTGTTTTTATAAGGTAAGTGTCAGCAACACCACCAAATATTTCCTCCCAGATTTTTTGAGGATTTTTTTGAAATAAAGCTAAAAGCTACTGATAAACAATAATGTGGGAGCACACATCCAGCCCAAAGACTGCAGGTACAGGCAGGCCTATCATATTCTTAGCCTATACCAGAATATACTCCCCCTTTGTGGAAGTAACACATCTGCTCTACTAGAGATTGTATTAAGTCTTTTCCCCCAAAAGGCCACTCTTAAGTGTGTTATTGAGTTGTGATTTTGTCATTAGTCTTTCAAGTGCATCTAATTTATGGGAAATAAATCTCTTCAAAAACTTGCTTTAATTAATTTTGGCTACAGTAAAATGGTGGGAAATGTTTATCAATTGTTGCAGCTCTGAGCTGCAGTGCTGTGACTGGTGAGTGATAAGAATAGCACGAACACAAGAGAGAAGAATGGGCAGTGGCAGTGGGACTCTCCCTCTGGCTCGCAGCCAAGGCCTCAGCTCTGTCACCCTGGATCAAGGGCTGCAGTGGGGACAGTCCTAGCAACAACATGCAAGTTCATACACTGCCAGAACACTTTTTTCTGCAGAAAATTTAGAATATGCTAGGAATGGTTACTTGATAGCGAGCAGATGTTGGACCAAGAGCGATGCAGCAGCAGGTTTTATGAACGCAAGATACGTTCAGAATTCTGGCCTCGGACAATCACACCCACTGCTGGTCAAGGCGAGAGGGGTTGCATGGTCTCATCTGCTCAAAGAAAGGAGCACCATGTTTTTGGAAGCAACTCAGCACAACAAAGGGACACTGGAGTTGAGCCCTGGTTTCCCTGTTGTTGATTTGTTCCAATTTGGGTTGAGGGTAGCAAAGGTGCAGACCATGGCTGTCTAAAGTTAACTTCTTTCCAATTTCTAAGGAAATAAAGGGGTTGACAGGGAGTGGATGTTTAGCTTGAAACCTGTTGGTTTGGGTCACTCACCATCTCAGACTTTCACAGAAGCTGGTGGCATCACAAGTTGATTTACCCTGGTGAAGGGAAAACAAAAGTGACATGTGAGAGCTACAATTAGTGAAGAAACAGGCTCCTAAAAACACACGAGCCTATTAAATCCAGGTTCCTGTTGCTTAACAGTTTCTAAAGAGATAGAACATTAATAACCCTTTCACACAGAGGTGTCTGATAGCAATTCTGACAATTGCCGGAACATGCCAAGTACCATTGCTGACACTAATTGACAAGGATTTGGGAAGGTCCCAAAGACATTCAGACGTAGCAATTGTTTCCCTAAGCCAGTAACAAGACTGTTTATACAGTGGCTGTTGAATGGTGTCCTTCAGACTGACAGCACAAATGTAAACAGTCACCAATGATAAAAATTAAATTAAGAAAAAAGGAGCTGTCTTTCAGTTTTCAGCTCCTGAAAGCCTCCTGCTGTTCCAGACAACTGCTCCCAAGTGATGGATGGAGTCGGGTGGGGACACTGCAGTGTCACCAGGCAGAAGCTGTCCTTGGCAAGGTGCTGTCCTGCACCTCCTGCGTGCAGGCAGCGAGGGGAACACGTCCTGTCTGCTCTGTGGGGTACCCAGGGAAAGGCAGCAATAGTTTTACTAAGTTCATCCCTTAGAGCTGCTCCTTGTCATTGCAGGACGTGTCCCGTGCCATTCAGCCTTCCGTGGCAACAGCCCTCCTGCAGCAGCACATCACCTCGCCTCTCTCCCAGCATGTTCCTGCCTTCCCAGGCTGTGGTTACACCCGTGCTCCCTTGACAGCGTGAAGCACAGCAAGGCCCCAGTGTGATCCGTGACAGACCAGTCACCCTCGGCCTCTCAGACCTTTGGGACTTGACTTCCTGTCTATCTCGGACACTCACTGACCTCAGTGGGAACTCCTGGATTCTTGCGAGGACACTGGAAAACCCCCACCTCACCTGAGGACCTGGCTTCACATTGCCACATTTGAGTGCTTTTACCCAAATGCACTCTAGCTGTACGTGGCCAACAGAGGAATAAATCTGAGTCACAGTCTTCGCGTACAATTTGGCTGTGCTAACTTAAAATTACAAACAAACTGAAACAGCAGTATTTTATACCTTAAAGGATTGCAGCAGGGTTTTGCCATCACATGCAAATGCACAGCTTATTTCTGAATCGGTGAAAAACCTGGGCAGGTTTACAGGGAAGACCACACAACCCATCACTGCCCGAGGTTCTACCAGGTCAGAACTTCTCAGTGAAACAAAATTTTCCTTTGGAAAATGCTGATTCTATAAAACTCATCTGTGGCTCTTCACTAGACTTCATACCTGACCCAGGACACTCTTTCTGCTGAAAAGGCATGATGCTGGATTCAGACATGTATTCCAGGATAAAAACTAACCAGTGGTTAGGGGACACCTTTCAAGAAATCTCTGCATCAGAAATTGGCCCAGTTCAGCCTACAGCTCTTGACTTCACACCGCCCTCACAGACAATTTGTCTCCAAGATGCACAGAAGCCTCTGTGCCTTTTCTGCCTTTCAGGGCTATAAGCTGAAATATTTTTGATGCAAGAACTGGTCCAAGTTTCTTTGTAGAACTGCCATTCTTGGTAACCTTACTGCATTGGACATTACATTGTACTGAACATTGCAACTGTGCTTTAACTATCAGAAAACATCAGAAGGATAAAACCTATTACCGTGTAATGCTACAGTCCACTTCAGATGTAGGAAGTAAACTGTGGTACGTTATGAAGCTATCATAGAACACTAACACTCCAGATGTTTGAATGTACCATAATGTTGTTTGAAAGGCATGTCCCTTAACATGTAATTCATTACACATTTTTCCAAAATATAAAATATATACAGAAAAAGTTAGTCTTGCCAACATCTTCTCTTTAACAGAGAGAACCCACCTGCATTGCTGACAGATGAACTGTAAATACACACACAACTTTCCTTCTTATATTATTTACAGTTCAGACTCCTCTGGGATAAAATGTACCTCCTACATAAGTACTTGTGTTGTCCTCAAGTCATGCGGGTTACTTGTTCTTTGCATTTTAACACATTTCTCTCAACTTCTGCTTTATCTCTTTTTTACAGATGGGAACAGAGGCCTAGAGGGGCTAATCCTAAAATACATTTAGAAGATTTCATGGGAAATTAGACCTCACATGACTTGAGAACCTGGTGGGGAGAGAAGTGACTTTCAGGGCTCACATAGGAAGCTCCTGGGCAGAAGAGGGAATTGAAATAGTCTCCCAAATTTCAGACACTGCAGCCTTCATTCTCTGAAGCACTGTGTTGTAGACAGTGGTCAGTGGCTTAGACACAGCCTGATTTCAATGAGACTCAGCTTACAGGTGGCAGCAGGTCAGCTGTGAATTATTTTTTTAGAAAAGCAAACCCATTAATAATAAATTTTAGATTCTCTTGGGCAGTAGAATGTAGTACATGGACTTAAGCTAACAAGGCACAAGAGCATGTAAATCCCTGTTAAGTCCCACTTGCCTTTCTAATAATGATAATCCCACACCGAATAGATTGTCGCTTCCGATTTGGTGATATCCACCGACTAAACATTGGTTCCTAAATTGTTCTATTTTCTCTTCAGTGTTTTCTCAAGACTGTGAATGTTTTTGTTCCTTGAAGAGAGCAGGGTGGGAACCACTCTGTTGTTTCCTTTGGGGGAGGAAACTTACCCAAATTGCCTTTCAAGAACAGAAGCTACACAACTTTTTTGGCTGTTTTTACAGGCTCTTCCAGCAGTTAAAAATGTGGCTGACTCCTTCTAACCCCATCATTTCCTCTCCTGTCAAACCTAAATATTTCTCCTAGATCCTATCAAACCATTTCCATGTAGTGTGACAGCATCTATAATTCTGAAGTATTTATAAGACTGTCTGTTTAATATTAAACTACATGCTCTAGAGCTATTAAATATTTATACTATGTAAAATGGATCTAATTTCGCAGCACCTCAGCTGGTTAGAGACTGCATAAGAAAAAGAAGACAAATTTAAGGTAACAGATGAGTGGCGAGGATCTTTTACAGGTCAGCTACACACTACTTTATTTCAGGAACTGTGCAGAGATTATTCTCCAAATGCTCTGTCCCTTTCAGTCTAGCTGGTCACTAAGCCAACAGATAATGGAGATTACAGTTTGTAATACAGCCAGCACAGCTGTACAATTCCCAGCACAATCTGGGCCCTAGGAGACCTTTGAAAGAGTCTTTGCTCACATCCCATGCAAGAATGCTCTGTTCCACCCTCTGCCAGCACAAATAAAACCCGAATCTCCCTTCTCACCTGCAGCTTCATCTGCTCCAACAATTTAGGGTGAAGTTGTGAGCAGTGATGGGATGGATGTCCCCCTGACTCTCCATGACATATAACTACAGAATGTTTGAGCTCCATGAATATGTCATCTCTGCTCACGAGCTCGAGCTGAAGCAAGTAACAGGATGTCAAGAAGAACAACACACTTTACTATGTGCAGCTCTGTCACGCACAAGACTCCAAGAGAAAGGCTGTGCTTATATAAACCTTTTGTGAATGATGCCAACACCGTTTCATGTTAAGTTTCATACATAACTTGAAGAACACACATATTTCAATATCCTACAGCTTTCCAAAAGCCCTGTTTTCTTGCTATCTAAAAAAGTCAGGCTCTGGCTTTTGTAATAGAGAAGCATATTAGGAAATAACGTCCTAATTTTACGGCCTGCTGTACTTAACATCACTTAACTTTTACAACCAACAATAAAATGCTTCGATGGGGACCTTCTAGCCTGCAAATAACTCATTTTTTAACTAGCAGGAGCTCATTCAGCAGATGAGAGTATTGGGGCTACAGGGCCAGCTACATCACTGGACTTAGCAGCAACTCCTGCCTGTGCTTAAGGATCCTTCTCCCTCCTTCCTTTCACTGGAGAGAATTCTGTGTTTCTGAAGTGCTGTGCAATGTGCTATGAGGTGCCTGTTTGAAGCAGTACTTTAGGAAGGGATACCAGCATAACACTCACTAATGGCAACATTCAGCAGCTTCCTCCCTGTCTGAACATCCTCAGACGCTGGGGGTAGGGTGGTAAACCGCTCCCAAAGGCTTTGTGAACACATTGAAATCAGAAATTTTAGGTGATGAAATGTTTACATGGACAGACACCCTTAAAAGTTAATGAGACTATATGGCCTTAAATCTATGAAAAACAAATCTCTTTTTCAAATACAGCTAGTTAAAGGGGTTCTTCCTGGCATGGAAGCATTGCAGCTTCCACTGGTGTATCAGTGATGATTATCAGTGCAGCCAGGTGCAGCATCCTGCAAATCCAGCTACTGAAACTCATCAGCAGCATTCAAATCTAATGTTGCTGTCTGAGCCTGTGCAAGCAGAACAGAGTCTAAGGATTATCATTTGTAGCTCCACACCTGCATGACTTTCAGATGTAAGAGCGAATTTTACCCACTGATAAGTGAACACAGGAAGTTACTTGCACATGAGCTAGCTCATGCCATTGTTATCACTGTATTCCTGCAGATAGATAACTGACAAAATAGTTACCGAGTAGGAGAGCTGGGGCAGCCTTTGACATTGGGTTTCCTGATCTCCAAATGCACACAAACTCAGGTAAGTTAAAATTCTAGGGTAGAAGCAATGCTGTCACTCTGGTCCCACTGACACTTGCAAGAGGACAAGTGTAGTTGCAGCTAGAAGGAGGAAAGAGATCACTAAAGCAGAGTGTAAAGTGGGCTTAGGCACAGGCAAAGTCTTCTCTGCATAATAACTGCCTCCTATTTTACCAACTGTGGTTCAGAAAGGGAGAAATGTCAAGAAAGCCTATGTTTCACATACTGGGCTCACTTAATCCTCCCCCTCGTTAGTGCAGGGATCAATCGCCTTAAATAAATCCTTGCTGAAGCTGATTCCCAAAACACATTAACATTATAGTAAACAAAGGAGGGAAATGGACACAAGTTTACAGACCATCCCACTCGTATTTTCCATCACTGACTGCATGCTATCAACACCCTCAGAGTCAGCT